AATAGACTACGCCTGCTTTGGGCACTTAGACGCAGCTTCCACACTTGGTCTGAAGAGATTGCCACCCGTCTGTTCTCTTCCATAATAAGACCGACGCTTGAGTACGGTTCACCCACCTATTGCCCGGTCATAATAGATGAGGTGCAGAGACTGAAACGGGTCCAGCATGTAGTTAACCAGCTCATCCCCAGTTTACGGGATATGTCGTAGGAGGACCGATGTCGTCATATCGTCGGCTTCCAGTTGAGCTCATTATGACGCACCAGATCCTGTACCTGGGCCACTTCCCTATGTTTAAGCTGTTGCTGCACGTTGCGAACCAAGCAGCACACGCGGACACCGGTATAAACTAGTGGTACCGGATTTAAAGCACATCGCTCACCCTCTATGGTTCGAGCGTCCAGTGGTGAAATATTGGAACAAATTGCCAGAGACGCTAGTCAAGGCGGAATCGGTGTCTGAATTTAAGAGCTTCCTTGTCGCCCACTTTGCGGACTACAGGCATACGGAGCGTATCGCATCCGGATAAGGTGCAGCGCATCTACAATATACTGCCACCGCGCAGAAATCAGCAACGTGATTCCGCGCACGTGCTCGATCCCCCTACGATGGCGCAACATAGAATTTTTTTTCTCGCTCTGTTTTCAGCATTTAGTATTCAGTATTGCGACTTTGGTGTCTGGTCAAAATGTACTTTTCACAGCCGATCGCCCCCGTTCCGTTTGTCTGCACCGCGACCATAGAAATGCTGGTCCCGATTCTGTTACTGAAATCCACACCTGCCATCCAATTGTGCCGGCACGTTCCGCAAACCAACATTCGTTATTGGATAATTGGCAATTCAGCGTACCGCGGTACGTCAGTATACTAGTGCGGCCGTTCAACTTTCCGCACGTGACTTCCAAAACCCCTGCGCCTCACAACCCCCACGAATCCGACATGTACCGGGGCTTCAAGAGGAACGGCGACTTTATTCAGCATGAACATCAACAACAGCGCATAGATATTTTATATTACTGATAGAATCCGAGTAGCTCGCAAACATGGGAGCATTCCGCAAAGGCCTAATGGACGAGTCAATTAATGTCACACTGAACGCACGTGAGCTCATCGGTGTACGCTTTCGGTGGAGCAACCATGTAGCATACTTTAAAAATTCAAGCTGGCGCAACAGAAATTACACGGCGCTGAATTTTACAGTGCCGTTTTGTTGTTTTTTAGTCTTAATTGCTGCACACGGGTTCTGCCTCCTCTATATTGTGATGCTGCTGGTGAAACACGAGGTAGGTCTGAAAAGTAACGAGACTGGTAATATGAAAATTCATTGCAAATTTTGATAACCAACTATATAACTTCACCTTCAGCACAATCCCCTCGGGTTTAACGCGGGTTTCCGTCATTCTTTACCACGCTCCGACGCACTGCTGGAAGCATTCTTCCACGATGCTCCTTAATACCAGCGTCGCTTAGAGCAATATCAATTGAGTATGAGGGCTGTTCTATTATAGTACTTTTTTATCGGTCAGAAATCTCCGGGTGTCCGGAGCGCTATGAGCAGGAGTATAGTCATGAAGAGGCATCCACGATTTGCTGTCATAGTTATCGTCTGTTAAAGCGCACTCAGCGAAGCAAACGTTTCAATAATAATGCAACAATAATTGGCATAAGTGCGACATAGTCAATAGTCAGGTTAGAAGTGCATGTGACCCAGGTGCAGTAAACGAAAGTTCATAAGCTAATACGAAAAAGGAAATAACGCAGTGCCAAACATATCTGGTGACAATTAACATGTGCCCAACATTTACAGATCACACAGTGAGGCAAGGGAGGGAATATTAACAGTCACTTCACAGTGGGAAATGAAGGGCCAGATATCAGGGGGAGGAGTCCGCTGCTACAAAATGAACAAATTGGTGGTTTAACCAAGCGATCCATCTGTGCCTTTCACGGATGAGCGACACACCGGTGTTAATTGCAAAACTTGGGAACGCTCGATGTCATAGTTAGCCGCTTTCAATCAGTACTGGTTGCAGTCGAGCAAGGGGCTGATTGAACATCTTGAAGACATGACGATCGCAATGTCACGTAATGTGAATGACTGGTTTACCTGGCAACCAGCTGGTTGGTGTTAGCCTGCTGGCAAATAGGCCAACGCATTCGTTCGAGGATGACTCGGTTTCCGACACCGGCGCAGTACGTTATACAGGACGACGAAATCACCGAGAACGTGCTCATTATTAGTAATCTGTTTAGCTCAACTCGCACGCAGTTCTATTTGCACTGACTACCGTTGTAGCCCATCGAAGAGCACGTATGTGGTCAACCACGGAGGTCGCCGAAGTGCTCTTGTATGACGGCAACGGAAGTCCCTAGGTTGATCTGTACGATTGAAACTGGGACGCCTACCGAACGAGTTTACTGAAACACCATCTACGCTGTGGTTGATGTGATATCATCACCAGCTGTTGAACCTCCGTGTAGGAGCAACACTTTTGTAAAGGATGGAACAAACGTAATCGTTTAGGACTGCTACGAAAGGGACCGTAACATGCCATAAGTATGTGCTGGAGGCGATGTTCTCGTCGTGCTCGTAGTAGTCCAGCATGTGCACAATCCGACGACCGTCACTTACCGCGTTCTACGTCAGTTGCACAATGCGTTACTGGTATCCTACCCTGCGCCTATGTGAATAACACAAGCTGAACGGACTAGATTTTGTCACGGGAGGAGTGTTGCCAACAACACCGGGTATGTTCATGAATACCGTAAATTTAACCACAGCGGACTGCTTTTCAAGGAATAGGCCAAGCGATTTATCCGTAAAGAGGAAGTCCTGTCGTTTCGATACCTTGTGAGAACATTATCCTCAACATCGTGGAATCACGTGGAGGGGAGCAGTGCAATAGAAAGTGTCGTCGTGAAATTACTTATCGTTGTAAGTGCACAGCGAAAATTAGATCGGTGACACGAGAAACAGCTACATACAGAGCTTGCACAATATTCAGTGAACCCAACTGATAGGCACGTATAGGTTGAAGTTGCAAACCTATTTCAAACGCTTTTGACAGGGCGGGGGTATTTCGGTCGTAAATAAATGTTAGTGGGTATATGCGTATACCCTTTTGCAGTGCAATTACACCTCAACCCTCGAAGGCGGTGACCACACCGCTTGTCGGGATCGACTTTACTGCATCATCGCTGTTCGCATTCCACAGCGGAGGTGGTAGGTTACAAGAATTTCCTTGGCGACGTTGATGATAGCTCTTTAGGATGCATCGCAGCCACACACCTTGGAAAACTACGATGAGTCGTCGTACTCTACACTTGCAGGCTCCGCGATGTACGCCTCTGCCAGGTGGGTGGCGTGTTCTTTCGATACGAAGATAAACAGTGGCATAAAACGCCGAACAGTTGCTCATTAGTTACATAAACGGATTTGGTCTTATTTGAGTGAAATGCACGATACCCCGCTCAATGTGCTCAAGGGGCAACAGCGGCGTTCGACTACGCGATAATCAGCCGACTTCTCAAAATGGCACCTTTGCCGTGTAATGTGAAAAACTGTCACAAATTGTTCCGCACTCCACGGTATAATACCACAGCGGCTGCACTATTGAACAATACATTTAAATCTTAACCTATAATGCAAGCACATTTGTGCGGAAGTGCATAATTATATGCTGAACTGTAACAATTTGCATATGCTGAAAAGCAAAAATCCACGGAATTTCTAATAATCCGTTGGTCGTTCACGGCTATCACTCGGTGAAATTCCAACGACACTCTTGCATTATCCTTCTCCATTTCCTCTATTTACGTCTGAACTTTACGGTTATTTGTCGGAGCTCCACGGCAGCCGAATTTGCGGCCCTGATCTGATTAATTACATGGTTTATGAACTATGAGCCACTCATCCTGTGCTAAGTCGCAGGCATTCTACATGTCGGGGTACATGTAGCGGTTTCTGCTCATAATCTGAACACACAGACTGTGAGTTCTACGTCTAGAAAGCTTTCTGCCGCAATCTCCCAAACATACTACGCAGCAAGCCTACGGCTAAGCTTCTACTCAGTGCCGACCCTGAATCAACAACTTAAGGACAGAATTCCAAGGTCTAGTACTTCATTCTGTGTATACTCTTTCTCTTGCTCGTGTCGAGCAAGATATATCGGAAGAACTACCAGGAGACTGTCCGAGAGAGCCAGAGAACACTGTCCAGCTTGGCTGTATAGCGGCGTGACTAGACCAGTGGCAAGCACAGTGTCTACACCCTTGATCGACTCGAGCCATCAAGTCAGAGCGCATGAGACGTTCCAGCCAAGCTATCGCGTACCCAGATGTCACACAAGAGCGGTTAGATGTCGTATACTGGCAGCTGCCGAGGCGATAGCCATCAGACTTCATGACCCTGACCTATGTGCACACAAGAAATTTGTCCAGGCACTAACTCTACCCTGGTCCCCTGTAACACGGACACATAGTGTGGACAACGCCACACACACACAAACGAACTGTTGATCGCCGTGTGGCCAATCGCCTAGCTTGGTCACTCAGACCATTTGGGTTTTGAACCTGTACTCTTAGCTGATGTTTACGTTTCATGTTATTCATTTGTGGTGTATTAGCCTGATGAGGAACCACTGAAAACGAGCTTGTTCGCTAACATTTGTTCTGCTGTCTACTCCCGGGATATTTTATCAGTTGAGAACAGTTTTGTTGCTTGGAGTATGGACACCCATATTTAACACCATGATAGGCCCCTGTCCATGTTCCTGTTACCCTATCCTGACCCTCAGTGTATTTCTAGCGGTGCATCTAAATTGCGTAGTTTCAGCATTACTGTCCAACTGCTTTGTGGATAGGCCGAACAATACAAATAGACCAGTTGGTTTACTTCGAAGTTAAAAGCTGGCCCACACAGAACAGCGGATGCTGCGGAGGTTTCAACATAACACTGGACGGCATGCACCCTGCGCACTTACCTCACAACAACACACTATTTTTGAGCCACATTGCTGTATTGAAATTCGCTATGAATCCACGGATAGTGGATCCATCATACGATAGTTAGCTAACGTGTGAGTACTTCCACATTTGATACCATCGGCATCTAAGCGTCTTCAAACCACAACAAGTTTCTTGGCATGGTGGGACTGGCTGGTGCACTCCTACATGAACGAACACATCTCACCGGACAACGTCCCCAGGGCTTGTGTAAACTGCTCTCCGTACTTAAGGAGCCTTCCTCTCGCCACCCGACATCATGGCTTAGGTTGACCTGATGGCTTGTCGAAGAGTCCGCCTCACAGTGCTCTTCAGGTGTCGGATGCGGTAAATATATACTCAAGTAAGCGGAATAATCAGCAGAATTGCAACTGCTTTCGCGTGCTTCGTCCGCATAATTTCTTGTCCAAACTGGTGTGTAGGGTGGAGTCATTGGGCTGGTGCAATCTATCCGTCTTCCTAGCAGAGTCGCCTTCTCCTCGATAACCTTGCGTTTAGTCAGCGAAGGTTTTAAAGTGGATTTGGATTTCCTTTCCGCCATTTCCGTCCTACTGCATGTGTTGGATGGCGGTGTTCCCCATCTGAAGTTGTTTTTCCCAACAACTTCTTTGTGGAGCCTAGCAGGATCCCGTGCGACTTGTAATGACCTCGATTTGTGAACATGTGGCTTCGGAGGTTTATCCATAATCCTCTCCAGGTTCCACTCCGACTTCTGAACATCTTCATCACCGACTGAGTTTGCATCTTGAGATATTCCTACTACCCTATCAGTCACATTCTCCGTCGCTTTTTGCATTACATTACTGAATGCAGAACGCGAAGTATTTGTCTGTGACCCATTTACCTTCATGCGCCGTGAATTATATTCCCTGAGGGACTTGTGCAAATAAGAAGCTTTCGTTGCTTTACTAATGGTTTGCGACATGCGAAGCAACTGAGGATGATATTGCTGTGCCGGGAGAGCACAGCTGAGTAGCTGCCGGATTATATACTTTTTTCGTTGCGTGCTCGGAACAATAATCTCACATACTGGTTTCGTCGTCGCTGACCGAACGAAGCTATTTCGATGCTCGAAGAAGTTCTTTCCATTGTACCTAAACGACACTGGTAAGATTGCATTCTTGCCTAAGCTCGCTTGGACTGACTCTATTGGCGCTGAACTTGGGTGCTTTGCATTGCGGTCCATTAAGCTTTCAACCGCGTCTGTGGTGGCATCGTCATCTGATGCAGGTAACGTGTCGAGAGCCAATGAGCTCACCGATTTGGGAGTTTGGGCCGACCGATACAGGATTATAGATGATCGTTGTTGCTTCTGCTTCCGGTGCAGCGGTGGTTGCGAGTTACCTGTTATCCTGGGCTTGTTCTTGATCTTACTCGTAGAGGCAAGCTTTCGACTCTTCCGTTCAGTAAATACCTTCTGGCCTGCTCTCTGAGTCACGTTGATAACCAAGTTACCCTTCCTTTGCTGTCTACCATTTTTTACAGAGGGTGGAATATAGGGGCGTTCGTTATACTTATCGAGTCCAGGCTTCGTAGTTGCTTTGGGTTCACGCAGTGCATGTGTTACTGTTGTGAATTCCCAGGTTGATTTCAGTACGGAGCCCATTAGATCAGACATTTGTGGCCACCCAGACACGGACGGCGGTTTGTGCATGAGTCGAGTCGCACAAAGTTGATCTAGCAAATCGACGAAGGTGTTCTTGGGGACACATTCAAGGCAGATTGGCGGCAAGTCAGCCAAATAGCTGAGCGTCAGCTGAAAAGCAGAGGAGCAGCGGTTAGGGAGAGAGATCGACATGGCAAACGTTTCCTGTTTGCAGTTATGTCGTAAAGGAAAGCATTGAAATAAGTGTGTTAGCACTACTTGCCGTGATCTAATGTATACGTGAGCGCTTATTGTTATCTCGCGCAGTGGTCACCCAACTAAGTGTACTGGCACCACTGACCGTCAACAATGATAACATAGAACCAAGACTACCGAAGAACTAGGACTGAACATCTAGAGCCCCAGCGGCCGCTCCTCGGTTCCCTTATCTAAATAAGTAGTGCAATAGTTATGACCGCACTACCTAGCAAGTTACTGCACACACCGGAAGGACCGTGTCTCTTCTCATTACTGTGATATATATATATATATATATATATATATATATATTGAACATGTATCACATGCGGTCGCGAGTGCCTGAGTCAGGTAGGCCTAGTGAGCCATGAGCGAGGCCACTCGGGACCACCACCGAAGCGACGACGGATCCTGCAGACAACGTAGACAGTACCGGCGCAGCGATTTTAGGTACGCTGCATTCGATTTACTAACCGCGTGCTTGCATGCTAAGTCCCTTTATTTCGTGGTGGGTTTGAATGTTTGTCTTAATGATTTTTTTCCTCATATTACTGTCTACTTTCCATAAAGTTGCACACGTTGCTGAAGCTAGTTGTAGTTCAATTTGATAACATTTTCGCGTTTGTGGCATTTTCTACAAATGTGTTTTCGCAACTCTTGAAATTATCGCGGATTCGTTCGTAATCATTTTTTATACGCTCATTTAATGCACAGTTATGTCTCCGTATACGTATACATTATCCGATTTATTTTATTTTATCTTATTGTTTAAAGTGATTGGCTCTTGCTTGATATCCCGTGTGGCTGCACTTGATTTGCATGTTGACAAAGTACCTACCTGTCTATTACCCATTACCTCGTCCATACTGGCTCTAGGAGACTGTTGGTCGTTGCTGGAGGAGACGGGTGAACGGTCCTTGTGGCCGTGTTAGAATCAAAGGGTGGTTCTATGCACTCAGTGTGGAGCGGACTACGGTCCAGCCACCACCTTGTGTGCGCTTGATTCCCCAAATACAGCGTGTTTATGTTTGCCTGTGAAGGAGTGTGTGCCGGCTCCGTTGATGAAACTTGGCTCCCATCCACATGCCTCCCGGTCTTATTGCTTCGGGTTTACATTGAATATGGGGTGTGTGGTTGTAGCTGTGGGTGGTGCAGCGCAAGCCACCCATGGCCCCTCTGTAGGCGTAGGCTTCCTGTGGCTGTCCACAGTGACAGGCAAATCCGTAACCGGATGCCGCCATCCACATATACTGCATCAGTCTACAAATTGACAGCCATCAAAAAACCATGGAAATCAAAAGAAGGTACAGTTGCTACAAAAATAAACCCGAACACAGCACAGAGAACTCCATATGTGATCATAAATGACTCTATAAAACACGGACCATTATAACTGTTTGCTGACGAGATTGAACTCGTTCACGCATTGCCACCCGATAGTCTAGAAGTTAGCCTTTGGAAAATACAATATGATTTATCTGCACTGGTTTCTTGAAGTAAGACATGGTTCATAATACTTTGTGCTGAAAAATCGTGTGTCTGGTTATGAATGTTGCTTAACTGATAGCTCCATCAGCCTTGCTGGTAAGGAACATTCCAAACCTGTCTTCTGTATGGGAACTTGGGGTAATATACTTCAGCACACTTAACTATGCTTACATGTCTCCTACCAGATAGCAAAAACATGGCAGCTAAAAACCTACATCGCCAAATTTTTTGTCCTACCCTGAGCACGACTAAAAATGTTAAAGCTCATTGTGATATCTATGGACTACACAATTATCTACAGGCACCTATGTTGGACAGATCGAATAGTTGTGTAAAATATCCAGCGTCCATTCACGAAGATCCCCACTAGACGATCTATTGCTATATGCTAGGAGAACGGCTGTCACCGCTTTCAATTAGATCGTCTGGCGCTACGCCGAGAAAGAAATATGCTCGTTCATTTTACAATACTATAAACCGCAGGGTATACAATACCCGAGGTAGTTACATAGGCAGGACCAATAAAACTGAGTTCCCGAATGAAGGAGCATGTGCCAGTGAGAGACTGTGCAACAAGCAAGTCTAAGTCCGACTACCAGTGTGCGCAGGCCTCGGGCATCTTCGATAGGCAGGCACTTATGGACCTCGGGTCACCGAATTGAGTTCAAGGAGGCCTTTAGGATCCTGCTTCTCCATACCAATTTCTGGCTCCTCCGGTTCGCCGAGGGCATTGCCTGGGACCGGATTAAGCCAGTGGTTTGTGTGCAAAAACGATTGTCGGTCAACCTCAGGTTGCCCTGGTTCTATGAGCAAGACACCCACTTTTCCTCTCGTTTGTTTGTATGTATTTCTACACCCAAATCTGTTATAGAAAATTACCGAGTATCTTTATCGGCACTGATGAGACGATGCGAAATACATGCATCTGTCGAACTTCGTCTAAATAAATAAAACCAAATGTCAGCTGTGTGACGTAGCGGCGCTTCGCTGCCATGCGACAACCACCAGTCTCAAGCGAACTAAGTATACCGTGAGGATGCCCACTCCTACGCGGATTCGTACCCGTGCCTCCAGGTTACGAGACAACTTCGTTAGCTCTAGGCTACGGGCCGATGAACTTCCTCTTCTCATTGTGTTTTTTAAACCAGCGGAATGGCCCTCACCTTCCAAAATTCCTCTATGTATCTCACAAGAACCAGGGATTAACACTGACCACACAAAAGAGGAAACTAATAATCTGTCCTAACTTTTCCTACTAAGGTATGCTCAATTATAGAAAAAGCTACCATTAAAAGTACGGACGAGTTAGGACCAAGCCAAATTTAAAATGTATTTAGAGGCTTCTCTCACTATGTCGTTCATACTGAAAGCATTCGGTTTTCAAGTGCCTCCAAATAATTTGACTGCATGTGGCCGAGGCTTCATGGCTCATAATACATGTATAAAAACAGCCCTAAAAAGAACAGAACATATGATAAATAGGTGCTGGATCATATGTTACTATGCCACACCGGCACGTGGCATGGTATTACATGGAAGTGCGGGCGAAGCCTATCGAGGGAATACCTTGCGTGGTAGCAGGTCCCATGGGGATGATTCCACGAGTGGCCGTATTAGTTTAACTGGACATCTGTTTAAATATGCATATGTTATTGTTCCTGGTTTTTAATTTCTTTAATGACTTAATCCTGCCAATTACTTTAGTACCAGTTTTGGATCCATTGTAAAAATACGTGAACAAATTGATTATTTTTCTGCGATTTTTTGTACACCTTGATCAGACCACATACTTGGACTGCACCTCGAATCACCGAGGAATATACTATTTAGTTATTTGTTTATTTAGTAGATGACAGATGACACAGGTTCGCCTCATCCCGTAAGCATTGCTGCCATCCTCGGAACTGCCTACTTTGAAGTCCCAGTTGTAGGCGATGAAAAGAAACATGCAAATTATATCTTACATCTTTTGTATGCTGTCAACATTCTGCTCGGTCACGTCAACCTGACAAACCCCACCTTAAACCACGTTTCCGAAGAATAAGCTAAACTATCATAACAGGAAACCTGTTTTTACTAGTTGCTGTAAACTGTTACCGCACCAACCAATATGATAATATGCTGCATTGTCACGCGACAGGTTATTTTTTTATATACTTCCTTGTTATTTCCATCCTCTTATTTTTTCTCATTTCATTATACACCTGTTTGTTTTTTCTTTTTTGGTCACGGGTGCGCTGTTCCCCTTGGGTGATGGAAAGAAGCAGTGTTTACCCACATATGATTGATAGCCAGAAACCCCCTGGTGAATATAGAAAGTGTGCTGAAATTAAAATAATTACATCCCGAAATGTTGAACGCACTCTTAATGGCATACGCCACCAATTCTGGTCCATCAGGCCATCACGCTCACGCACACACAAAAAAGTTATGGATTAAGAAAGCGCTGACTGGCTTGAGTGACCAGTTTACGAAACTAGAAGCCAAATGACGACTGGAATAGGTGGGGGCCAGCGTATTTTTAACTAACGCGACATACGATCATATAGGATGTGCAGGTGCGGATGAAACCTATGGAGAGATTGCTCCGCATGTAAACAGTTTTCAAGAAGACAGTCTCACGCATGACAGTACTACTTCGCTTAAATTTCCTACTATACTTTCCTGTTTGCTTGGAAACTATTTTAGCTCTCGTTTCCGGTTACTTCAAGTATACCTACGTATAGTATTATAGATAAAACCCATTACTTCCTTACTTATTGCAGTGTCTTTACATTCATTCCCATATCTGTGCCAGAAATCGGTTGGCTATCTGTACGCTTTCCTAAACGCTCTGTGTTCGGTGCTTTGTATATTTCCACAACTAGCTGATTATGTTTCGACGGGTGTAAAACTTGCCAAAAAGTCAGAAAACCCTTTTTTGTGCTCTCAGACTTAAGGTGCTTTCAGTACCCAGTACTTTAATATTGAGGTTCGCGACCTCTGGCATTTTTCCCGGACTGCTTCAGAAAGACTACATCTTATTGATGCAAGCTATAAAGCACATTTCTAGATGCAGCGGCTTGCCTAGAGATTCTTTGCGTTTGCCCACAGCTGTTTGTACATTTAGCTTGACCGTGTATTGAAGGACGCAGGTAACCTTTTCGTATCTGTCAATAACCGCCGACATATTTGTTGTTCTTGACTCGATCGGACTCGCTAGCTGTGGAGCAATCGTAATAATAGAGCGAAGGCGTGAAATTGACAAAGCGACAACAGCCCACAAAACTGGGCAGTAATGTGGTGGGACGGCCCCGACAATGAGCAATTAGGCGGTGACAATTTAGCGGCTTTATAAGAAAAGAATTTGTATTTTGAAAAACTGGGCAATAAAACGGGGTGGGCTATAAACCAGATAAGCAATAAAGCGATTTTGACTGTATACA